TCACACACACACACACACACACACACACACACATACACACACAACACACACATATACACACAAACCCATACATATGCACAGACAAACACACAAATACACACTCATACACACACACACACACAAACACACACACACACACACTGCAGAAAATAATTATTCACAAATCGTGTGCTGCTAAGAACATTAAAAACATGATGAAAACGTGCAAAACAATAAAACGAAAACATAGATTGGTCCTCTTTTCCTATTGCTAAAGATCGGAGGTTACCGGGGAGGTCACATTATTTTGGGTTACGCCATTATCCTGGTGGTATGTGAGCAGAAGACAGCGGAAAAGCTGTTATCGTTGTGTTGAGAGATGTGGCGTTGGGGAGTTTACATTACTTTTACCTACACAACATGGATATAATAACACGTTCTCTTGCTATTCGTTATTTTGTCTCTCAGTTAGTAATATCCCACTCCAAACTAACGGGATAAGGAGGGCTCTCATGGTTTAGAGGTTACGTGTTCGCTTCTCATTCAACAGGTCCCGGGTTCGAAATCTGACAGCGACCGAAAATTTTCTACTCTAAAAAGGTCTCCTTTCCCTTCTTTCTCTCCACTCTGACCACGTTCTGTCGTCTGTTTTCGACTCCTCTTTCTGCCCCCCCCCCCCTTCTCTTATGGTAGGTTAGAACTAACACTTAACCTTCAAGGGTAAGGGCGAAAAATCTAGGACTCACCGTTTGCACATTGCGCACATTAAAGATCCCTTTGTGGTCCTAAAATCGATAAGACTATGCTTCTGACGCCACCAAGGCAAACCTCAAGATTTCTACGAAACTTATATTGTTTAAGAATCCTGAGCGCTTATAACAACAGTATGTAGTTGCTAGCTTTACAAAAACTTGCCATAACAAAAGAAAAAACTAACGGGATACCTTGTCCGCTGAATATGAAAAAGAAAAAAAAAGAAAAAAGATGAACCTGTCGACTTGGTTCTTTTCAGATATTAAAAAGTTCCCTTTTGGTTCGTTATTCTACCTCTCAAATTAACAGGATTAGACTCTAAACCAGCGTGTTGTACTTTATCTAAAGAATACGCAAACCAAAGAAGCTATTAGCTAGATTGTTTTCAGCATTTTTTAAAAATGGTCCTGGAATCATTAAGAAAGAGAAGCAACAATGATAATTTGAAAAAGTAGGCTTCTTTATGACGTATTGGCAGTATTTAAACACATCATTCGGATATTCCCAGCATATTTTATATTTCTCCGAGCTGAGGGCAATGTACTAAGAGTCGTTTTTCCACCTTCACGCTCACTGAGCCAAGCTGTAAAACCAAGGTAGTTAGCAACACGATAATATATTGTTTCTCAGATAAACCATCTTCACGGATATGATAATATTTTGTTCTGTCGCTTCTCCCTCCTTCTCAGCCGTTAGTGAGGGTAATTACGAGCTTCTGGAGACAGCTCAGGTTTGCGAGAAACGGACCAGACATCCGGAAGAAAGGACTAGTGTTACTGATATGTTTGTTTACATGCGCTCTGATCTTTCCGCCGAGCCTCTGGGCATGCCTTGTGTGCTTTTAATCCTCTTATCTAAAATTTTATTCCTGTCTGTATACCTTTAGTGACGGCTTTATCTGACCGTAGCTCTTTCATGATATGTGTACTCTCTCTCTCTCTCTCTCTCTCTCTCTCTCTCTCTCTCTCTCTCTCTTTCTCTTTCTCTGTCTGTCTCTTTCTGTTTCTCTGTGTCTCTTTTTTCTCTCTCCCTCTCTCTGTCACTTTCCTCTCCACTTCTTCTTCTTCTTCTTCTTCTGTTTCTCCTCTCTCTCCTCTCTTTCCTCTCTCGTCTTTCTCTCTCCTTTCTCTCTCCTTTCTCTCTCCTCTCTTCTCTCTATCCTCTCTTCTCTCTCCCTCTCTATCATTTCAAACTGTCTGGCTTTCCAGGTACTGTATTAACCAAAACGGCTTCATGCTTTATACAAACGGAGGTTCCCTTAGTTATAAAAGCATAACTCTGTACCTGTATTATTGTGTTTGTGTTGTGAGATGTTTGTTCATGTCCCGCCAGTAACCATCTTGTGCTATTCTGTATTTTTACTCTGGAGAATCGTGCACTTAAAGAACATTTAAATATTGGCAGCGTTTTCAAAACCACACCATTTTCTACTACACCCACAGTATTATAATAGTATACCGTGTCGAAACCTACCTTAGATAGAAAGCTGTTCCATTCCATGACTCAATATGCATCTCCACTCAGTAAAAAACAGTACCATACCATACCATACCCTACCGTACCATACCATACGACACCATACTATACGGGCCAGGCCATGCCAGGAATACAATGCAACACCCCAGCCTACTAGGCCTACCTGTATTGTAACATACTTCTTATCAATATACCGGTCTCATCTTGTCTACATTATGATTATCGACCCCAATATGTCTCTCTTTTCTATGCAGACATCCGTCTATTTGTCCCCGACTATTCCGTCCAATTAGATCGAATCCTCCTTAGCTTTCGTTCCTCCATTTTCTCCGGCGAGCCAACCCCCTGACTTGCGATAAAGTAATTCCACTCACTCGCAGCTTTGGCAACTTAAATCACGGTTATTGTGCTCACCTGTCTCGTGGGTTTTCTCCCCCTGGGTTTGAACAAGGCAATAAATCAACAGATTTCTCAGCTGTCAGAGGACGATAATATTACTGTGTCTGGCTCAAATCACAAAAGGAAGGCTGT